AGAGAGTTGTTTAAGCTACTGTACCTACCTCCCTCCCCCGTCCGTGACACACCTGCCTCCAGTGAAATTGTGCGTGCTACTCAGGTCATGTTGACGATGTCCCTGGAGGCCGCCTGAGGGTGGGGGGATAAATGAGGTGAAGAATATAAGAGAGGAAGGAAGGAAGATGGAAGAGAAGGGGAGTGGAGGGGGAGGAGGAAGGGAAGTGAAAGGGGAGGAGAAGGACGAAAAGAAATGAGGAGCGGAAGGAAGGAAAGAAGATGCCGATGGAAAGGGAATAAAAATTGAGAAAGGGAGAAGTGAGGAAGATGTGGGGAATGGAGGAGGGAGGTGAGAGGCTGAAGGCGAGGGGAGGTGAGAGGCTGAGGGAGGAGGGGATCTACCACCCAGGTAGAGACAAATGGAGGAGAGCAAAATGACATTGTGAAGGTGAGAAGGTCCTAATGCTCACCTGTCTGTCACACCAGAGAGAGAGAGAGAGAGAGAGAGAGAGAGAGAGAGAGAGAGAGAGAGAGCTACTCATTCTGCCTAGTGAGTGAGTGCTTTTTAGTATCTGTACTATGTTCCATACCTCAACACCTCCCACACCCCCCATCTCCTCCCTTACCCTCACACCACACCTCCTCCCTCACACCACACCCTCCCTCCCTCATCACACCCTCCTCCCTCTCATCACACCCTCCTCCTCCCTCACACCACACCCTCCTCCCTCCTCACCACACCCTCCTCCCTCAGACTAGGTCGACTAGGATCCTGCCACCACCCTCCACCCAGCGTCCTTCACCACCACCAGTGTCCCTCACCACCACCCCAGTGTCCCCACCACCACCCAAAGGTCCTTCACCACCACCCAGTGTCCCTCACCACCACCCAGTCCCTCACCACCACCCAGTGTCCCTCACCACCACCCAGCGTCCTTCACCACCACCCAGTGCTCCCTCACCACCACCCAGTGTCCCTCACCACCACCCAGCGTCCTTCCACCACCACCCAGTGTCCTCACCACCACCCAGCGTCCTTCACCACCACCCCGTGTCCCTCACCACCACCCAGTGTCCTCCTCACCACCACCCCGGCCACCCTCTCCACCACTATCCCTCTCTTTCTTACACCATCTGAGTGACACTACCACCAATATTTACACCGTCTTGACCCTGGCACGTGTCGACTCTTACATCTGGCCAGACATTGTTTTCTCTTATTATTTCTTTAAAGTTTTAGAGCTCAAATATTTACGTGTGCAGTGTGTGTACCCGCGAGTGTTTGGAGATATAATGAGAAGATGGATATAAGGCGTTCATTAAAGGTTGTAAAATGGAAATATAGTCTTTGATGATTTTATGTCTTTCCTTTTAAGATCACGTGAAGATAAACCACCCTAAGATATTTTTTAGATTGCCCCCGAGGGGGGTAGTTTAGTGGGCACCCTCTTACATCCTGAGCAAGGTGAAGCGCAGAAGCGTTTACAGTGCCCATCTGGGAAGCATGCAGAGTTCATGCTTGCCTTTATGACTCACGCATTAAGGGCGCAAAAGCCTGAAGGGTCATGGGTTTTGTCAGCAAGTTACTTAAAGTGACAGAATGATGTGTGTGTGGGGGGGAAATTTCTAGTACAATTTATCTGTTTATGGCAAAGCGTGGCAGGTCCCTAATGATGTCAAGTACCAGGCCATAGGCATAGGCATTGACAATATTGAGGGACATACCTTTTAGTGTGATTGTGATGGCGTGTACGTCGGCAGTGTTGGCTTAAGGGGACGTCGAGAGGTTGGTAGGGGGACATCCTTCTTGGCGTAGATACGTAGTCCACTAGCATGTCCGCATGGTGGTCAATTGATGTGGAGAACTGGAGTGGATGGGCCCCAGGTGCCAGTGGGGGACGGGCACCCTAACACTATTTGGGGGATGAGGTTAGGTTAGGTCCAAGTGGGATGTAATCGTCCACACGTCATTCCACCACGGTGACCACTACTACCACACGACGACGAGTCACAACAACAGAATAAAAACAAGACCACTGCCACAATGTAAACAATACCAAAATGTAAACAAGACCAATACCACAACGTAAACACCACCCCACACTAAGACAGGTTCCGGTATGGAAACATAAACAAAGGCAAGCACAAGAGGGTGAGATTCAAAGCCAATTACCACCACACCGCAAACACCCACCTACCTTCCCCCACACTCCCCATACACCAACCTACACACACACACTATCAATAATAATCTCCTCTACCTCCACCTCTCTCATCTAAGTCCATTATTTCAACTTTCCCTCGTGCACCACACCCACGCCAGCTGTGACTCTGCCCCTGGCCATCATTAACTCACCCACCCTCCCATCTACCCTCCTGTGTGTGTCTTGACTCACCGCTCAACACGACACCAACGACTCCAATGTTGATAACTACTATTTCAACTTTTGTCTCCTTGCTAACTACTTGAAAAGGACAGTCGCCTCCAGGTGTGTTGTTACCCCCACCCCAACCAGTCTCTAATTGCTCCTGTGGCACCTTCAGACAACTCGTGCAGGACTGTAACAATACCTGAGAGCGACTGTACAACAACCGACCTAAAATGAGGACCGTCAACATTGGCGCTCATTCCTAAGTAGTTGTTTACCTCCAAGGATATCTTAAAATACATAACTAACACAAGAAAACAAAATAAACAAGACATAAACAATAAGCAAATAAGTAAATATACAACACAAAAAGAACAAAGTAAAATGCATAAATCATAAAACAATTAAGTACGAACACATCTACAGTACACACGTCCTCTCTACCCTCACTGTCTCTCTCTACCCTCACTGTTTCGCCCCACCATCACCACACCACCCTCACCACCAGACGAGTGGGTGGACAACACACGAAGCCACCAGAGTCAGGAGACCACCTTGGTCACGTCCACACCTGTAGCCACAACTGCACGTCCACACCTGTAGCCACAAACTGCACGTCCACACCTGTACACAACAACTGTACGGCCACACCCTGTAGCCACAACAACTGTACGTCCACACCTGTAGCCACAACACCTGCACGTCCACACCTGTAGCCACAAAACCTGCACATCCACACCTGTAGCCATCACCTGCACGTCCACACCTGTAGCCACAACATCTCGTTTGGTCTACAGTCTGGTAATGAAGGACCAAGAATAATTATACTCAACCATTACCACCAATTACCTGCCAGCAACCCATCCATCAACCCACCACCCATCACTCAACCCACCACCCATCACTCAACCCACCACCCATCACTCAACCCATCACCCATCCATCACCCACCACCCATCACTCAACCCACCACCCATCACTCAACCCACCACCCATCACTCAACCCACCACCCATCTCTACCACCATCACTTCCAACCACAACCTACAACACACAACCAATCAATTACCATTCATTACCACAGGCCATCCAGGTGTGTGCGGCAGACAAGTAAGTTGACAGGTATGTGCGGTGGAGAGGTAAGTGGACAGGCGTAGTGTGGCGGGCATGTGGCAGAGAAGTGGGCCGTATGGGCAGGTGTGGGTGGTAGCGGGGAGAAGGTTGTGGGGCATGTGGTAACCCCCAGCACCACGTACCCTGGAAGGTAATGTACACACACCATCAATAAAGTATCTGTGCACATTGGGTCCGATGATGACACCACCATACAGTATGTCTCTTACCGTCACCAAGAGTCTAGGTATGTTGGTTGTGTTCACTTGTTAGGGAGTGTGTATATCACTCCTCCGCCCGCCCCACTCTCGTAGAAAGTACATAATGGTCATGAATTTGCCACCACGTATAGTAATGTAGGTCACTGTCACTTCTCAGTACAGCCTGCCCCCCCACACACACACACACACACTTTCAAATGCATCGTAAATAAGCCATTCGGCACTGTTATAATAAGGCCCACGCGGTGTTAAAAATTAAAAATATAATCCGTGCCTGAAGGACATCCTGGCTAGCCTGACCCCCTGGCTGTGTCACGCCTCATATTTGTCTCAGTTTAATCCTCGACACCGCAGACCCACAACACCCAGCTGCCTCACATGTTACACTCACACACTCATTCACCATGTACTTTAAGCACATTCCCTTCCTTCCCTCCCTTCTTCTCTCCCCTTCGTTCCTTCCTCCCTCCACTTCTCACTCTTGCTTATAATCGAATAACAACCTGTGCAACTTCTTTCAACACCTGTACAACTTCTTTCAACACCTGTACAACTTCTTTCAACACCTGTACAACTTCTTTTCAACACCTGTACAACTTCTTTCAACACCTGTACAACTTCTTTCAACACCTGTACAACTTCTTTCAACACCTGTACAACTCCCTGCTTGAGGTTACACGTTTAACCAATCCGCGTTGAGAAGGTATTTGTACGCTGTCTTGACCTGTATAATGTGTCCGGTTATCACGGTATCCGGACGACAAAGGACTGAAACTAAATTAGTATACGAAAACAAGCAATAGAGGACGTGAGGAAGAGGAGGAAGGAGGAGAGAATAGGAAAGAAAAGAAGGTGGGAAAAAGAGGAGAACAGAGAAAGAAGGTTTAAAGGAAGAACGAATGGTGGAAAATGGGAAAGATTAGAATGACGAAAGAAAGAAAATTGGTAAAATGAAGGAAATGAGTAAAAGAAGGGAATGGTAAAAGAAGAGAGAAATGGAAAAATGATAGAAAATTGAAGAATGAAAGAATGGGGGAAAAGAAGGGAGAGAAAGAATAACAAGACGAAATAAATAAGGAGAGGAGAAAGAAAGAGAAACGAATAATCAGGAAGAAGCAAGACAAAGAACGGAAATTAAGAAACAGAGAGAAATAGTTGACGAAACACACCAAGTAGGAAAAACCCCTTCCTCGGGCTTTGGTCTTCCCCCCAAACATTCCAGCAAAACAGAGTTCAATCTTAAAGTGAACCCTGAACACCCACCTGTCTTGCCCTGATCTTCCCCCCAATCAACTCAACACCAACAGGGTTCAATACAAATATGAACCTTGAAACAACTCATTAACACTCACCTTCCGTTTCGTGTCGCTGGGAATCTCGCACGTGCCATTGGTGGATTCCTCAGGTAGGGTACAGGTAGGTGAGTGGCTGTAGAAGGGCGAGGAGGATGGGGATTGGTTGGTGACGTCGTAAGGCGGGCTGCTACGACCTGAGCCTCGACTGTGTTCACCTCGACGCCACGGGAAGATCACACTGTAAAGAACAAACAATAAACTTGGTGAAACATAATAAAATAAAGATAACAAACATGACTGTAAAAAGTAATTGTAAATAAGTGCTTAAAAAAAGTATAATTGAAAACACGAGATATTTCCTATATATAATCGACTTCTTTTAAGGTGAAACAGGTTAGGTTAGGTGGTTAGTTAGGGTGGTTAGGTTAGGTTAGGTTAGGTTAGGGTGGTTAATCTTTAAGTGAAATAAGATGGGTAGGGATTCTTCAGGTGATTCGATATGTAAAATAATATTGAAATTAAAACGAAGTCGAGGCAAGACAGCAAGAAAATGGTACTTGAGAAAAATTATCTCAAAACTTACACACAATATTATATCCCTCAGTTAGTCACTGAGAAAAACAGTGACTCAACACAAGACAAACAGACAGACGACTTGTTATGATGTTGTTGTAGCCATAAAACAAGATTGTCACAACATGGTCGCCGCAACACACAACTTATAGCCACTCTGGCATTAAATGACATGTAATTGTAAATGGTTGGGAATACAAGACGTTGGGTTGGTGTTTCCTATGTGCCTGTTACACACACACCACCCGGTGTCCCCATGACCACGTGAGGTCCTTCATATCAACACCCGAGGACGAGTTACTACACCACGTGAACACTACACCACCTGGTGTCTCCATGACCAGTCCAGTCCCGGGCCATCAACTGTAAACTATAATAATTTGTACGTTCAATTCATGTTCCTTCTTCTTTCAGAAATGAAAGCTTTTGTTAAACGACCCACCCAGCCCATGTCTTTGTATGTAATAAGTCATTTTTGTCCAATGTATATTTTCAGTCTTCGGGCTGCCGACTTTTTCAATAAACACTTCGAGACTAAAATTACCCCCGGATAAAGAATAAATATGTGATCAAAACAATAATAAAACAAGATCAAAATGTAAGAATAAAATATAAACAAAACAAACCGTCAAACAATAAACACGGAAATATAACCTGAAGCGCCAATGTGCTTAAGCCAGAACGATACAACACTGAAACATCTCCCACAGTGTCACCCTCACAGGTCAGCCACAATCAACCACACAGGTAAACGTCTAGCGATGATGGTAACAATACTCTAAGATAATGTGCAGTGTAGTGGAGACAGAGACGGTAATATAACCCGCCAGGAGAAAGCCGTGTCAGCACCTCGCCAAGTTTCACGAGGTTCCTATGCGAGTCGTGGTATCTGGAGGGCACGGATGTAGTGGGTCAGAGGGGCGGTGTGTGTCCTCAACCCTCACCACCAACACCTCCATCACTACCAAAAGTTTACATTGGGAAAGAAAATCACTATTACATTATGTCACCAGCCACCACAAAATTTCCCAATGGATAAAAACCCCACCACAATTTCCCCAAACACCAAACACTGCGTAAAATACCACCAGATAATTTCCCATACGACTAAGCCCCAGAGACGAAAATCTCAATGGATAACTTCTTTATAGAAATGCCACCACATAAATTTCCACTGGACAAACCAAAACCCCACCAGAAAATAATTTCTCAATTGAGAAAATCCCAACGAGTAATTTCCCATCCCACAAAACCACATCGATACAAAACACCAGATTATTCCCCATAAGACAATATCTCAGCTCGACCATTTTCACATGGCCTATATCCCCTCGTATAACAAGGCAACAGCCCATCGTGTCTTGACGTCGGTAACTAACTCTATTACATGACAGAGAGGAGGTCACCTAACTGTCATATCGCCCACAGGTGAAATACCAGCATCTTATAATCACTATCACCTTGTTTACTGATCACCTGTGTCGGGTCGGGCCCACCTCGCTTAATTACGTCGTTCCTATAATGTTGAGGGAGACGCGGTAGTGTGTGTGTGTTACCCGCATGGACGACAGTAGACTGCTAAAGCAGCTACTTTACAGTTACCTAACGAATAGTAAACGTAACGCTGGCGGGCAACTGAAAAGGTATAAGGATAGTCTTAAGACAAACCTGAAAAAGTGCCAAATCGACCCCCTCACCTGGGAGAAGATCACTCTACGCCGTAAAGCTTGGAGGATCACCACACGAGGTGTCAGTACTTTCGAATTAGCCCAACTGGAAACCGAGGCAGACAAGCGCCAGCGCCGTTAAGACGCTGCCGCCGCCCCTCCCGCACTAGATGGAGCCATCCACAGGTGCAACATCTGTCATCGACCCTGCCGGTCCCGTATCAGTCTCTTTAGTCACCTTAAAACTCACCAACCTAGATGACATCCTTAATAACTCATATCATTGAATCATAACTGGATGATCGTCATACTCGATTCCGAGTGACAGCAAAGTAGTAGTAGTAGTAGGTAGTGTGTGTGTGTGTGTGTGTTTATTCTAAGGATGAGTAACTCGGTCTTCAGGTCACCCAACCACCTCCAAGCAGCAGACGTACTCTTAACAACACCAACAAGAGACGCCAACAATACCTGAACAGCCCTAAATAACAGGTACTACTAACAAGAGGCCAGTCGGTCACCCATACGGACCCACCACTAACCACAACAGGTAGACACAACAATGGTGGTAGACAGGGAGCGGACAGTGACGCCCAAGAACAAAGACTACGACAAAGGTCTTAAATATTGCGTCACTGACCGGATGGAGGGTCTGAGTCACTATATATTAAAAGTCTGTAGAATGTTTCACCACACACACACACACACACACACACAATACAAGCAGGCAGACTCACTACAAGACATTCAACAAGGCGGGAATAGGAACGCCCACGAACAAAGGGGCACTACAGGTTTGCAGGAGTAGGTTGGGTAGGGTCTTAAAAATGGCGTAATTGGTGGGATGGAAAGTCTGTGTCAACACCTGGTGGGGAGATAGAGCCAGACGCCTCTCACTACACCGCCAAAACCTTCCTTATCCTCACGAGTCATAAGGCCCAGTTTCCTCCCTTCACTGTTCCGCCCATTCATATCTAGCTGTAAAGTCGTCTTATATCATCTACGGCAGAACAACTAATGCACCTTACCTCATTATCCTTAAGAAAAACCCACTCAACATACCTCTCATTCCCACACATATTCCCACTCTACACTCCTCTCAGCCATTCTATTCCTCTGTCACTTTAAATTACTCCCACTCTACACTCTCCTCATACACCACACTACACCCTCTTAACCCACACTCTCACCCACTATACATCCCTCTCACCCACTACCCTCTCATCCCCACACACTTCTTCATTATACACACCTTTCAACCACTCTATTGCACCCTCTTATCCCCACACCTTTACTAAACACCCCTCTCATCCCCAAACCTCCCCACTCTACACCCCTCTCATGCAAACACCCCACTCAACATCTCTCTCATATCTTACCACGCTGTAGTTGTTCCTTCCCCTCCCTTCTCTTCCCACGTTTCCTAATTACGCAATTTTAACGTAATTCCGCAGGGGGAGAAGAAAGGAGAAGGGGAGGATGGGAAGGAAGAGAGGATGGGAAGGAAGGAGAGGAGGATGGGAAGGAAGAAGAGGAGGATGGAAGGAGAGGAGAGGGGGGATTGGTGGGTTGAGAGGGAGGTAGAGGAAAGAAGGGGTAGGGATGGGAGTCAGGGAGTTGGTCTTGAGTTCCTTTAAAAGTTTTACTGTGGAGCAAAAAATATAACACTAATATCCACACACCCTGAGCGTCGAGTCTATTAACCCACACCCTGAGCGTCGAGTCTATTAACCCACACCCTGAGCGTCGAGTCTATTAACCCACACCCTGAGCGTCGAGTCTATTAACCCACACCCTGAGCGTCAGTCTATTAACCCACACCCTGAGCGACGAGTCTATTAACCACACCTGAGCGACGAGTCTATTAACCCACATCCTGAGTCTGGTCTCGGTTGGGTTACAGATAAAGGACTGGGCCTATTTAACCTGCAACCATAAGACTCCAGGTGTACTGTACAAGATCGTCCTCAGGTGTGTGTGTGTGGGATGAGGGGGATGAGGGGGGGATGAGGGGGATGAGGGGGGGATGAGGGGGGGATGAGGGGGGGGATGAGGGGGATGGGGGATGAGGGGGGATGAGGGGGGATGAGGGGAGGGAGGAGGGGAGGAGGGGGGTAACTCGCCCAAAGACTATCTTCACGATTCTGCGAGACACAATATGACACAATGGACGAAGGATTTTGACAGCCCCACCGAGTCAACAGGAATGGCGGTGTTCATTTTGAAATTCATTGGACCCCTCCGTAAAGATTTTTTTGGAGTGAGTAACTTTAAATGTAATATAATACTGTAATAGTACACATGAAAGAGCACTGTACACATGAGCACCAGGAAGAGTATACATGTATCACGGAAGAGACGTGGGAGAAGAGTGTACGGCCCACTGTGTACACACCCTCACCACCATGCCACTCCAGGGCCGCACCATCCAGTTGTAGTTTGTGTTTGTTTATACCACATTGAGTGTATTAAGTTCCTGGTTGTATACACACGCTCCAAAAAAAGTATCTTTACAGAGGGGGACGATGAATTTCAAAATGAACGCCGCGACTCCTGTTGTCTCGGTAGGGTTGTCAAAATCCTTCGTCCATTGTGTCATATTATCTCGCACAGAATCGTGAAGACCGTTTTTGGAGCGAGTTATCTTCTCTCCCAATATCTAGGACGACCTGTTATCTAAGTATCATAATATAAGATCACCGTAACTGTACCTGTGTGTTAATTGTTTACCTTGTTATCACCGACACACCTTACAAGAAGCACACGTAACTCTTACCTTGTATTAGCGTATAACTATTCTCTTCGCCATGATCAGAAAATGTGACAGTAATTGATAATAGTAATAAAGTTACGTATAGTGCTTTTGATGTTACTAAAATGAAGAAAACCAGTAAGACAAGAATTATTACTATATTATACAGAAGTGAGGGATAATCTGGATACAAACGCTAAACTGATAAAATAGTGATAAATACAATAATCACCTGTTAAACTGCCAGGT